ACATTCTCTATTCTTGAAAAGATTGATGAGCAGCTGTCTCATTACTAATGGAATTTGAATTCTTGACATTGCCTTTTCCAATATTTCAAGACTAATAGTGTCATAGACTTTTGCCATGTCTTGAAAAAGTACCCATAATTCTTTTCTTTTTTCTCTAACCTCTTCACATATACTATTCAAAAGTTGGATAGGTTCAGCAGTACTCTCTCCCTGTAAATTGGCAAAGTTTGGTCCTTGCAAGATATCATGCTTTGCAAAGATAGTTGCCAAGTGCTTATTCACTATTTTGGTAAAGCAAAATCTCACTTTTCCTAGTAACACAATTGATCTAGTATTTCCAAGCTCACAGTGCCATGGTTTAGGCTTGGGTATCTCATTCATGCAAATATAGCTCAGCCGAAGGTAGGCTCACGCCATTACTCCATATATTGGCATTTTGTTATACTGTATATGGCAACATTTTTTATGGAACAGGTTTGAAGATTTCAATCGTAGATTCCATTGATAAAGGTAAGGTTCCTCTATCGAATTTCGGGTTGGGTGGATATATAAATATAAGTAGGTTTTAGCATCTCGTACCAGCAGGCTAAGAAAAGTTATTTCTTACCTTCCCAAATTTTTCAAAGGTATGTATAAGTCTGGGTTTTATCCATTTCTTATATATTTTTTATGATAATGGATTCATATATGAAATTCCACTCACTATTGGTTTTTATTTTATTTACGTAGTAGGAAACGTAAAAATGGCTACTATTAGCTATCGTGTTCATACTGACCACATTGTTATGATTCGTTCTATTGATGAAACCGTAGAAAGCCTCAAAGAAAAAATTAAACAGCACGTTGAATATAACGCTTTTGATCTCTATATGAATGATGTTTCTCGAAATCAAAGAATATATATGGAACCAATAAATCGGATTTCTCAATATATTAACAGTAATTTTAATAATCCCGGAGAAAAAATCCATATCCTCGTATATCATAGACCTTAATTGGATTTTTTTTATCGGATCTCACCTGTGAACTTCCATACATTCGAACCATGTAACAGTGATATGTATTTTCGCAAATTTCTTTTTGTATCTGCCTTAATACAGGCAATGTTTTTCGTTTCGTAATAAATCAATAACAGTTACATACCTCTGAAACGTGACGCATTTTTTTTCAAGTGTTACTATTACCACCAATTATAACAAGTAACGGAAGAGATGTAAATGACAAGAGATTTTATTAGCAAATATAAATATAATTATACTATCATTAGGACTAAATGATAACTCTTAATTAAGTAAAGAATTTATAACTATAACTATTTTACTACTACTTGTCATATCTGATATAAAAATAAAATACGAGAAAAAATTAGGATTAAATTTATTAAATTTAGAATAAAAATGAATAAATGAGCATTATATTAATATTTAAGGGTGATAATATTTTGCTTTTTCAATTGCAGTTTCGATTCTTTTGTGCAATCTTTTAGCGATTGTTTTTACTTTATGTACATCTTCTACATATGCATCATTCCATGCCGGAAAAGATTTTGGTATTGGTAAATTATCCTTTTTTGCGGCGATTGGTAATTCCTTTTCAAAGCTTTTGAAATGTGTTTCGTATTCATCAGTGATCGTGTTCAACTTTTTCAAAAGTTTAGCATAGATGCCGTTACGTTGTACCGCAATAGATTTTAGATGGGATCCTACTTTTTCTTCAGGAGCTCTGGGAGTTGCGGGAGATGTATGAACCATAACAATGGCAAATACCAAAAAAATGAATAAATTTGATATGAATTTCATGATTGTTTAAAGGCAAAGAAAAGTGAGAGAGAAATTCTTGTGTGGAAAATAAAGATATTAAATGAATTTAATGAATTTATTTAATATTAAAGGTTGATAATAAACTGTGAAGGTAAGAATTTAGACATATTTATATAAAAATTGTTATCTTTAAATGCCAAACCAATATGAATATATTCATCATACTGACAACCAAGTTCGACTGATAATTTTCATTGTAATTGATTTCAAGTAAGAGGTTGAATAAAATTTTAATAATGACTGGCGGTTTATCGCCGTTTTCAAAATGAAGCATGCGAATGTTGAAAGAATATTTTACATAAAAAAATGGCTTAAAATCTGGGTAATCCGAGTCAGTTTCAAAAAAAAAAAAAACGTGATTTACATAAAGATCACGCCATTTTGTAAGCAGCATTATCATAAGAGGATCGTCAGAGAATGGGAACCTATTTAGATTACAATTCAACACATCCTGTATTTAATCAACAGTTAATTAATTATTATTATTAACATTTATCTGGGTAATTGTTTTTGAAGGCGACAAAAACGCTAGTTAGATAATATAAATTTCGGGATACAATTATAGGGACTGAAAACTCCCTGCCCGCCTTCGAAAAGAATCACCCATCTCTATCAGAGTTTATATCCGTGATTTTCTGATAAAAGGAGCAACTTCGATAATTTCCATTTTCGTGGTTATAAATCCCGTGAATAAGAATAATGTGGAATATTAAATGGACAATTATTTTTGAAGACGAACAAAATATTAAGCATGATTTTTTCGGTTCCCGTTTTGGATAATACGCATATAATGCAAATTTTAGGAACACAATTATAGGGTCCGAAAAATCCCTGTCCGCGTTCGAAAATAATTACCCAAATCAGGGGAAATTTTTTTATAGGCGTTCTTTTCAGCTGTAATTGAACTGGTTCCATATTAGTTACTAATTATAGAACAGTAATCCCGACCCCGCTTCTAAAAATAGATTTTATTTATCACCGGTGTCACCCCCTGTGTATTATTCTTAGCTTTTTTTTTCAATTAGGAACTCGTTCTCCTTTTCATAAAGGCATATATGTCTTCATAGAACCTTTGGTCTCATACCTCCTTAACAACGTGAAAAGGGTAATCGGCATAATTGTAGAGTTGTTGAAGGATCGGGTTAGTGTAGATAGTTTCCCGACTAGCAAGAGGGCTAGGATCAAAAAAATTATCAAAAAATAATATGTATCACGGGCTACGTCCCGATCTTGTATTTATTTTTGCATTTAATAATAAAAAATTTTCGTGGCATTTTTCTGAGACCGCGCGGTCCCGGAAATCTGGTGACTTTATAACCTATTTCTCTTGGTCAAATGCCACAAGTCTCTATGTATATTTATATATAATAGCTAACTTTGAATATTTCACTTCTCGTATAAAGTTTATCAATCATGGCATCCGAGCTTGAAGTATTGAAACAGCGTATCATTGAACTTGAGGCTAAGAATGCCGAGCTTGGGGCAGAAAAAGCTGAACTTTTAAAGCGGATTATGGAGGAGAATACTAGACGTGATATTATCACCTTCACGAATCAGAAATTCCTGTCCAGCAATCGGACCCTTCTATCGTGGCGAAATTTGTAGAGTCTTTATTAATATTACGAAATATTCTAATTGTTAACATGACTTTGCTATATAATGCATCCCTACCTAGATCTAGTCGAAATATGGGTGATTATTTTCGAAGGCGGACAGGGAGTTTTCAGTCCCTATAATTGTATCCCGAGATTTATATTATCTACGCATTGTTTAAAAATAGGGGCCGAAAAATCCCAACTAGCGTTTTTGTCGCCTTCAAAAACAATTACCCATATAGAGGATGGTTCAACAGTATCTTCCCCGCATCATGCATAATGTTTTGTTTAGACCGATGTAATTTATTTTTTACCGTATCAATAAATATATTCTCAGATTGCGCGAGTCTCTCCCTCACGTGACAGAAATTTCGATTATATGATTTTGGGTTACCTATCCATCCGATAAACTTTTCTTTCCATAGGAATCTGCGGAATATAAAGTATAATAAATTAGATAACGCACGATATACTGTATGCGTTAGCGTTTCAGTCATTATTCATAATCGATACGTATTTTAACCATTATAAGAAGCGGCGATTGGCGCATTTCCCAATTGGCTGATCGACTTATAAATACCTACCAGATTACGTTCACCTACCTCACTTCTTTTTTTCTACAAAAGTCAGCTATTCCACTGAGTAGGACCATCGGCTCTAGGAATAGAATCCTAACGGCTCGTCGGATAGCGTTGCTTTTATACGTTTCTGCCTATTAATTAATACACAAGAGTTACAGTATATTCTGGGTCGTTATAAAGAAGCAATGGACGCGTCTATCAGTAAACGAAACGGGTCCACCCCTTCAAAGGCATATACTGTAAACGAAACCTACGCAAGAAGTTAGTACGATATGCAAAAAAAGCGGAACTTAGGAATTCCACCAAAGAGACAATAAATAAAGAAAGTACCTCTACCCAGATAAAGTGAGTATATTGTCAGAGGGATTATTACAGAGTAATGAGGCTTTGCCTCTATTTTTTATGGTACGATATAAGGTGGGGCTTGAAGAATAGGGGCAGTCATCGCCTTTCGAGGCAAGTCTTGGGGCTGATTGAACCCTCCCATGCAAAGCTCTTACTTTATTTTTATGGGGCGAGATCGTCAGATTATTATTGTCTATTGGCAAGGAGAGGAAGATCCAGACAAGCTCCCCGGAGTTTAAACTACCAAGCTAATAGGCGAGAAGTAATCTGCTTGTATATCCACCTCCAGACCTTTTTATACACGTTTATAGGAGTCTTTGGATCTTATTGTAATCTATTAAGGTCTAATTAATTAGTTTTTTTTAAGCATAAGACACAGATAGAGACTCGTAAATCTACAAAAGAAGAGACTCGTAATTATATTCGATCAAGATGGATTTCCGAGGACTTCGACGCAGAGGATCTTAAATCGACTAATATATCGCAGTCCGTCACATTAATCAGTCCAAAGTCCACATTTGTATAGAAATTCGTAGAAAAAAGATATCAAAGGTGGATCATTAAAAAGCCAAACCTCGACGATAGTGGCAACTCTTTAGCCTTTAGCCGGTTCACGCCAATACCACCACGATACTTGGAACTATTAGATTCTGAGATTTTTTGCGAGACGGCTCCTTTAGATTCAACGACTTCAGAATTATGGAAAAAGTTTGGAGAGTGGGCAGGTTTCGAGAAGGTACCTAATTTTAAAAAGAAATTTAAACATCACTGCCGTCGCTTATGGACAAAAACGAAGCACGCGTATAAACTACAAGTGGAGACTCAAAGGAACCCTCCAGAACTTTACGATATTCCAGAAGGGTTTCCTACGACATCCTGATGACAAACTTTTTATCGCAGATGAGACGTCGAAGAAGGTTGCGGGTGGTGTTAATCTCGATGGTTTCAAATACGTCTATCAAAAACCTCAGTGTTTTAAAAATGCTGTTGGTGAAACAGATTGATTTCTTTGACCTCAATAACCCCTTAATCACGAAAACTGCGCAAGTGGTAGTAGATCAATACTATAACCACACTCTTAACAACTCTCCACATTGGTCCAATCAATTTACTAAGAACCTGATAGAGCATTTCGGCTGTTTCACTGACAGCAATAACGAACCATATAACACCACGAACACCGCTTATACCCACTGTCAAGAGCATCAGAAATGCGTCCATGATTTGATTCGGGGGCTTCAACCATTATCAAGTGCTGTTAACGAGTATATTAATATTACCTATCCAGCATTATACGCAAAAATGAAAAAACTCGATCTAGGCCCTAACGTCCCCAAATCTTTTGGAGCCTTTCCAACTGTCGGTATAAACTTTAACTCAATCTGCCAGTTCCATCGAGATCTTAAAGATCATCGCAATACATTATGTGTAGTCTGCCCTCTTGGAACATTCGAAGGTGGACATCTAGCATTTCCCGAGATAAAGCTGTCGTTTAAGGTAAAGCAAAGACAAGCGATCGCTTTCCGGTCGCACCTTTTAATTCATGGGAACCTTCCAATAACGGCTGGGTCGAGGCATAGCATTGTCTTCTATATACACGACACCGTTATAAAGCAAAAACGGAAATTTAGCTCTCTTTTCGATGATGGAAATTTAGATACATCAGAAATTCTAGACAATACCCAATCGATCGTAGATGGTCTTAGCATTACTGACTCTGTTATAAAACATGACAAGAAACTGCCGAAATACTCACTTCCTAGATTAGGCACCTCGAAATTCCTCAAAACTAAAGAATCACCGGCGAAGTTATATTGGTAAGTATAATTACTGTTTTTTTTATATAGTCTCTTTATAGCGGGCTAGTGTATCTGGTACATATTCACGAACAGTTCATAATATATATTTCTCTCAGATTTAGAGCCTGCGAGACGAGGGTCACCAGCTAAGTATAGATCAAAGATACCGAGTTCTACCCATAAAAAAAATGAATGATGACATGGATAGTGTGTATAGTTTATATAGCAGAAATGTATCGATTTTCCTATGTAAATATATCAATGATATTATAAAATAAATAAAAATTTCTTTTGTAAATATATCAATTACTCCATAAGTATAATGATTATGTATATGTTATCATTCGTATTTGAAATGATTTGTTATATCTATTTCATATAATTATGCCTTAATACCTATTCAAATATCATTTATAAAATATAATGAATATGACACTCTTATAGAGATGCTTCAAGAATCAAATATGCACTAAAATTGAATCATATTATTCTAGAGTATACTGTATAGTTATTAAATCAAATAGGTTCAAATTCTTAAATCCGATATAATCGCATAATATCATAATTAATAAATAAGTCGTAAAATGGTTAAGTAAATTACGTGGAACCAATTGTACTGATGCTGAATGGGATGAATATGTAAAGTTGCCACAAATTCATGATAATGAAATTCCTAGTGAGTGGATGAAACGGATTTGTGAACGTCTTACATATTTTAGAGAAAATAATCTTTTACCGAATCAGAGTAAAAAATATCTTGAAGCTAGGAAATTAATACGATTTCCAAATGGTACTTCATATGCTCCTGAAATCGGAATAGCAATATGTTTCTCTTGTGATCAATTAGTATATATTGGACAAAGAACGAAGAATATGGGAAATTATAATCATATAGGAATAGAAAAACATTGGAAATTTTCATGTACAGGTAATATCTTTTGTGATACAAGTTATGAAGAATATATGAAAATTAAGCAAAAAACTAATTCTACGTATAATTTTGATGATGAATATAAATTACACAGATATGGTTTGTGGATGTCTAATGCAATCAGAAAGATCAAACGTATTAGAGAAGCTGTATTAATATAACAATATTTATTTATTTGTTTATCTGATTTATATTTATATATCCATTTAAGAAAATTTATACCTTTTTTTTTTTATGCATCAGTTGGTTTGCTTTTTATTCTTTTGTCGCAATTTTATTTCTTTCTTATGTAAATAACTATTAATGACAATTGATGCATTTATCGAGAATTTGTAACAAATTTAAAAAAGTTTAACAATGCAGTTACCTATTGATTCTCTATTATCTATTCCACACACATCTCGCAACTGATCGCTTTCCCTCTTCATACTCCATGTACGTCTCAATACCACAAACCACATAATGACAATAATCAATAAGGTAAGTAATATATATGCCGATAACTGTGACATCAAAGTACTTGCCACAATAGGTATTGCTTCTATTCCTCCTACCGAAATCTGCGGATATGAATTTATATGTGTGTCTAGCATAATATCTTTACTAGTTTCAGATGCGTTAGTATCCTCACTTTGTGAGTCACTTACCTTGGATATAGGGATGATGGAGTCATCATCATAAGTCTGAATATTATTGCTAGGCAAGCTTGAGAGGGTATCACCATGGTGGTATGGGACTTCATTCCTATCATCGATTTTTTCGATATCTTCCACATTTTTTCTGCATACTAGATACTGACTAAGATTATTGGGATTTGATATATAACTTTGTTTCTTGCTTTGCGTATTTTTTTCATCATCCCCACCAACTATGGGTTTTGATACATATTCCGATTTTAGACTCTCCAGCTCATTAACTTTCGATACCAATTTACTTTTTATATCTACCAATTCAGACTTGAGAGACGTGATCTCAGAATCTTTTTTTAATATCTCTTCCTGAGTTGAAACAGCGTCATTCTGAGCTGAAGCCAACTCATCTTCCAATACCTTGATTACAGACTCAAGTGATTTGATTGTCTTTAACTTTATATCATTTTCAGCTTTGTACTTGGCATGCGAAATCTGTGATTGAGAAAGCTGGGATGAAAGGTCAGTATTGTCAACTTTCAATCGTTTGATCTCATTGACAAGTTGTATGCCATCAGTACGAATTTGCTGGTTATTCAAATTAACCCATTTTAAATCCTGATCCCATTGCTCCCTCTCCCGATCCCACTTCTTATTTTGTTTTAATTGATCGGCTCTCAATAATTCATTGCAAGCATTTAGATTGGATATAATTTTTGTAGCGTAACGCAATTCTTCATTAATATCCATAACAATAGTTAAAAATAAATTGTAAATTATATTCGAATAAAATAAACAAAGCTAAATATATATGTATGTTAGACTTAATATATCATTTAGGATAAATGTAAAAAATGGAATACATATACTGTATATACTATTAAATGTTTGTATTAACTGAATATCAGACTTGTATATTTGATGTATTATATTTTTTCAATTTATTTTATATTTTCCATTGGATATAAATATCTTATATTTTTAAATCAACAAAAAGAACAAAGTATTAATCACTATGGTTAGAGTACGTATGAAATGTGATGCACTCCCATTTACAGCCAAAGATTATTCTTATATTATGGAATGTTGTGATATAAAACCAAGGTATAAAATTTTATATAAGTTGTTAGATAAGTATAAAACGTCAACAAAACGTATTTATCAGATTTGGAGGGGGGTAGAAGCTAATAGAGTTTTATGGGATCAGCCTATACCATACTCATATGACGATGTCTCTAATTTTACGTCCCCAACATTCCAAAATATTAAGTGTCAGTGGTAAAGTCAAAGTCACGAGTCTTCAACTCAAGACACTAGCTCCACTAATATACCCAATTCCTCCATGAATGTCCTTCATATAGAGTCCAAACCTTTAGGCTCAAAGAGTAATAACTCAGAGAAGAGACAGAGTCTCGAGGAAGCTAAGCTTCGAGTCCTTGACTCATCTCAGATTCATCGCCTAGCAGATGGCTCTGTTATAGATAATGTATCAGTTGAGCCAGCACAACCAAGCAAGCGGACAAAAACAAAGAGATCCAAGTCTGTTCGGGTATTAGATCCACCTGTTTTTTCTGAGGACTCAACAGAAAAAATAGATACAAATGAACTAGCCCGTCTTAAATGTGCAGTAAAAGAAGGTGAGGAAAATTTATCGTATTCAGGGTATAAAATGATGAGTCATAAATGGTGAGCTTTATCCATCCTTATTTTCTTTACTAGATAATCTTATATGACGAATAAGGGTGTTAAGACCAGTAATAACTTTAGTTGCTTTATGCATTTCTTTCTCATATCTCTCACAATTTACACATTTTTTTTTTTACCTCTGACGCTTGTAATCTTTCTGTATTGAATGCATTACGTGATTCTTTGTGAGTAGAAAGAGGAATTGTAATAGTCTTTTCATTGTGTGTAGCTGTGAATTCTCCTTTCACTATCGGATCCCATCCAACACGAGGTTGCCATTTTGTACCAAGTATCATTGTAGATGTATCTTTTCCATCTCGATCCTTTTTCGTGGGGATTACAGATATTTCTTTTTCAGAAACTGTTATCGAATCTTTTTCACTATCTATAGATATAGGAACATTATATGAAGTACCAATAGATTGAGAATCTCCAACCGCACCCATAAGTTTGTGAACATTTTTCTTATCTATCTTTATCCCTAAATATTCGGGAATGTTATCTGTATACAATGAATCATCTGCCCCGGTATCTAGAATTGCATGCGGTATTATTAAGTCACCTATTCTACAAGAAATCGTTGCCACATCATTAGGTTCTTTTATATCAAGAAAATCGACCTCAAAAGGGTTAGGCCAATTTTGTCTTATTTGTGCTCCTTGATATACTTTAATGGCGTGATTTAAAGAGTGAAGTTTAGTGTCTTTGTCACATGCAATGGAATTATTCAAAGGCTTGCTTGCATTAATAATCTCAATAAATGGCTTGAAGATAGTTTGATATTTTTTCGCAATAATCTTCCATACCTTATTTCGTTCATTGACTGTATACTTTTAACCATAATATGAATCGAATTGGTCCTTCATTTTTATAAACAAATTATTAAGAAATGTACGAAGTTCAATGAGAATTTCTTTAGGACAATTTGGTATTAATTCCGATATAATATGTTTAAGAGATTCAAGAAATACTTCCTGATCCAAAGTATTAATAGATTTCTTAGTAGACTTTTTCTTTATAGGAATCCGACTTTTTTTTTTTACGTTAAAACAATTTTGTGGTTCATTATCAGAGGCGATTTCTTCTTCCTCCTCTTCGTCTTCGTCATCTTCCAATATCTCCACCTCCTCATCATCTAAATTTTCTGGTTCGCTCTGATAAACATTATTAACTTTTTTAGATTTCTTAACAAGTCCAGGACACATTTTTTCTATGTCCAATTTTTCCGCAATTTGAGCATTTGTAAGTAACTTTCTGTGGTTTCTTTGTCGTATATACTTTTTTAGTAGTTCTGGTATTACTATTTTGTCCAAAAGGTTCTTTCTTAATATGATTAGATTGTCTTCCATAATTTTTTGTAAGGTCGTTTTCAAAAAATTGATGTATTGCTGTGGGGTCTGATAAATCACCTGAATATCCCAATCGTACTGCAATATCAACAAATTTTTCTAATGCGTCATTTTTTCGAGGAAATTGATTTCTAGTAATACTATATACCATTGCACTAGAACCGCTATTGATTTCATTTCCAAAATTACTTGTTGGTCCTCCAGACTCTAACCAAATAATCCTTAATTGCGTAAAGAAGTCATTTACAGTATTTGGATTTGCTATTCTGATTCGTGTTTCTAATCTAGGAGGTAAATGATCATAGAGATATGGCAATACTTCTGCATCGACAATACCTAATACATAAGGTCTAATTCTTTTTTCATAAGTATCAATTGTATCTAGTGAAGTGAACCTTTCATTCATAAGTGCTTTTAAAGACGCTTGTTGATTTCCAATCATTGTTTCTCGATATTTACCCTGCATCCAGTTATAGACTTCTGCTTCAGTAACAATATTTGCATTAGCATTATACGGGTTTTGTGCTGGAACTGGAAAAATTTTACCTGTCATTTTACTTTTCATGACATTTGCTCTTTCTGCAGCATTAAAAGCGGCAACACCTAAAGGTCTAGCTGTTTCATTTATAGCTCTAAGTTTTGCATAATAAGTATGCGGTGGTTCTTGTCCGTCATAATCTGGTAATATAGCGAGTCGTGGTGAAATTGTATGCATAACATCTTGTATAGCGGCCATATTAATTTAATTTGGTAATGGATTATTATGTAATACAAAAATTTGTTGCTGTAAATTATTAATTATTTGCCGAACGTCATGGGTTTTATTCTTCCATTTTTCATACCTCGCTATAAGTTGATCTCTCCAATACTCTAATATTGTTCCATGATTATGACATTGTTGTAACTGCCGTTTCAATTCCTGGTTTACTCGTCTATTTAGAAGCTGTAATGCAAATTGTTTATGCAATATTAAGTTAATACGTCTATCTTTTTGAGTTTTAATATAGATAGCATTCAACTTCCAAAAATTGCGAGATCTTTCTTTATCTTCTACACGATTTTGTAAAGTATTACGTTCTTGTATAAGCTGATGATTACAGTTTTGCAAAGTAATACCATCCTGTGTAAGCTGGCTTATATGGTCTTGTTGAAGTGTATCAAGCTGTCTATATCTGTTAACATCCTGTTGTAATTGTAACATTTGATTGTCTCGATCATCTCGTTGAGTTATGATATCATCTATATCCAGGTACGCAGATTGATAATTATGTCGAACTGCATTTAAAGAACCTCTAATACCATTTACAATATTAATAGGGTTATTTAATGGTGTGCTGTTTCCTCCAAGATAATTTTCAATACGATTTAAACCTCGGTCAATTTGTATAAAAAGATCTAGATTTGCCATATCAGTATTTTGCTCTTCTAAAAATTGAATGTATGGATTTGACGAGCTTCTTCTCGATCAAATAATTTTTACTATAAATAAAATGAATAATCCTAGTATTGTTATAGATCCTTTAGAATCTCGAAAATTCGATATACAGTATCTATCGATTTACAAAAAATCTATTACCATCCTTCTGGTTATCAAAGGACTACTAAAAAACTTTATGAAGTTCACGAAAAGCTGGATTCGATTTTACATTGGCTGAATTTCAAGAATGGCTTGAAAGACAATTATTCCATTTAATTCATAAACCTCGACCACGTTTTATTCAGTATCATCTTTTAATGGAATTCAAAATTTAAATGAAATGCATCAATCCGATCTTACTCCTATGCCTCATGATAAAATTAGTAATCGAGTTTTTAAATATAGACTTGTAATAAAAGGCGTGGTAACTAGATATCGAAAAAGCTATGCATTAACTAATAGATCCGCTTCTACAGTTGCTAAAGCAATTAAAAAAATTTATGAAGATCCTAACAATTCTCTTTCTTGGCCTAATGTTTTTAGAACTGATAAAGGTACTGAGTATTTAGCTGAGTGTAAAGATTTATTATTAAG